AGGATCAGCTGAAATTGTAATAGAGATGCTGGCAGCTTTAGATGATTTCAGCAGTGAAAAAAATTAGAGACATAAAAAATAAAATATATAACAGTGGTGATATACCAGAAGTAGATCCATTTTCAGAGCACTGCCTAAGAAGTCAGGTAAAAATTAATGCAAACACCACTGAACAATCAGCCTATTGAGCCACATAACAAAAATTATCTGAATACTGATAAACAGAGCACACAGCAAAATTAAACCAGAAATAGGGCAGGAAGAGAGGATTAAACATCAATGTATGGTTGTCAGCAAAAGAAACAGCCCAACATACAAGTTACAAATTGGAGATACAAAAATTAAAGCACATATATTTAAATCTAGAAAATGTCTTAACAGAAGATGGAAAATTTAACACCAAAATCCAAGGGAAGTTGGAAAAACAAAAAATGGCTTCCAAAAGTTAAGCAATGTATTTAAAAAACAGAAAAATTTTGTTAGAAAAAAAAAAAAGAAAAGAAAAAAGGAGTACTGGACTGTTATACAATATTGATCCTCCTATTTGGCAGTGAATGCTGGACCATCCTCACAGATGAAGAAACACGAGGTAAGAGAAATTTGTATCTACAGAAGGATGCTGAGAATACCATAGATTGAATGTGTGTGCAACAATGAAGTTTTAGAGAAAATGGAAACAAAAAGGACACTTATACAGATAGAGTTGTAATTTTTAGGGTATATAATGAGGAAAGCGGACTTAGAAAATTTGATACTCACAGAACATATTAAAGGCAAAAAGTGACAGAGGAAAACAGTGCATAACCTCCTTAACAAACTTCTATAAATGGTTGGCAAAACAGTGATTAGGAAAAATAGTACAAAGACAAACTTTACGAAGAGTTACAAAACGCAGGAAAGCCACGATTGTTCACATCTTGATCAACAGAATGCTGCACCACCTGAAAGATCTCCACCCAACCATCAAAGAGCAACACAGACATTACATCAAGCACAACCACTGAAAGTGCAAAAGTATTTGAATTTGGAGTGTGCAAGGGTTCTTCTAATGGAGATAACTCAGGACCTGAACCCAATGAGCAGTATGACAGATCAGAAAGTGAGTCTTGGGAAGAAGAGGAGATTGTATGCCTACAACAGAGTATCAGAATTAAAAGACCCACACTCAGATCAAGGGGCAGTGTATAGAAGAAAATGATGATGTACCCTGAAGGCCAAAATGCTTTTGTGTTGCATCTGCTTTTGCAGAAAAAAAAATATTTCACCACTGAATGAGGTCAGTGAGATCATGTAAATTAGCTTCTGCTAATTAATCATGATTCAAATTTCACCAAGTAGAATGGATTGCATAGAAAAATATGCTAATCCATTTCTATTGAAGACTTGGAAAGGGTCCACCAAACTGCTATAAAAGCAACTAATTTTTCTTACCAAAACAGATTTTTGAGAGGAGGTTGCATATGTGTACATAGGGATTTTGGACTTTGTGAACTTTTATTATACAACTCTACAATAAATGCCTTGCTGTTTCTGGCTTTCTTGTTTGTTGGAAATCCTCTTCTGTAGATCCAGCCTTTAAGAACTCAGGCAAACTGTCTTATCATCCTATGAGCCTTCTACTCCTTTTTGGCAAAGTACTAGAGGTTCTAATCAACTTTGAATTAGTTAAGCATCTCACAATGCTGGGTTTTCTTTTAGATTATAAAACTCCACTTCTCTATGTCAACTGCTGATATATTAACAGTTATTGCTGAAAAAGTCTATCAAGCTTTAGATAATAATGGTGAGGCTTGGGCTGTTGCTTTAGATATCTTGCAACCATTTGACAGGGTTTGGCACACTGGTATTCACAAGTTGAAAGGTTATGGTATTTCTAGATGAATCTTTGAACCAATTCAGTCTTAGCGAGTCATGAAATGAAAGTTGTTTTGAACAGCAACACATCTAGATCTTTTTACATTAATGCAGGTGTCCCCCAGATCTCTATCCTCAGATGTGCATGATTCTTAATTTTCATCAACAACCTTTCTGATGTCATCAGTTCTCAACTCAGTATCTATGCTGAGGACAACTATTTAGTCTTGTTTGAATGGCAAAGCTGATCGGTTCAATAAAGTCAAATTGGCAGCTGATCTCAAAAATGACTTACAACTTGTTAACTGGGGAAAGAAATAACTTGTTAATTTTAATTTTTCTAAAATAAAACTGCTTCACCATAGAAGACCTTTTGTAATATACAAACACATTTAAAAATAATTTTTAAAAAAGAATTAACAAATTAAATTGATTATCTACATTAACTGAGGAAAACTGCTTTTGTTCCAATATTTTATACAAATCAATTTTTTTTTGAGATATCGACATCATATAATTGAATTCAGCTAACAGCTTTGCAAAACTGACATACACAAATGTATCCAAGAAATGGGTTTCTGCACAAAAGTAAACACATGTAAGTGATATTGCTTCATTGCTAGTTTTCAAATTTTTATGCAACATAGACCATAAAGTATGTTTGAGCAATGACAAGGCCAAAATTGTTCAAATGCTTCATGGTCATTACAAATTGCTAAATTCCTTGTAAGATACCATTGTATGATCAAAAGATTCATTATAAATCTAGCTTCATAGAGTGCACAAACTGACAAAGGGAAGAGATGGAAATCTGACTTTCACTTGATGAATAGAAACCCCATTGAAAATTAAAATGTGCAAGCAGCCATTTACTAGTGAAGTTATTTGAAACCATTTGTAACTCAGAATGTGCCGAAAATGTTACATACTGAAGCATTCAGAAATACATACAAAACCAATTGTCTACCCACCTTTGAAGTCTAATGACCTCATAAAGTGTGTCAACTGGGCCAAATAGTATATGAAACAAGGTACTAGTCATAGACAAGAGTAGGTTGATGGCGGATAGTCTGATGGTTGACAAAATGGGTGGTACCTGAAAAGGAGCCTAAGCCACTTTGGTTGAGGTATCAGCAAGGTGCATATGGAGCATGTTTTGGGTGGGAATTATAATTGGTTGGGTCCTAGAATGTAGATGGTGTTAAATGACCTTCTTCCTATAATGAATGCCTAAAGAAAAAAAAAAAATTGGCATTCAAATGAAAAGCTATTTTTGTTCATGACAATGCCCCAGTCTTACATAATTAGAGTTTAAAAAAGACGTTCATTGGATCTATACCCCATCAAGAACATTTGAAGCATTTTCAAGAAGTGATGTTTATGAGGGCAGCAAACAATTATGTAAAAAAAATGTACTTTGGGAAGAAATAATAGCCATTTGTAATGTAATGCAAAACTCTGGAAGATGTTTTCATATTTTATGAAAACATTTAATTTCTGTTGATTGTTATTTGTTTCAAGTCATTAAAGAGAATGGAGTTTATATCAGTAAATAATATTACTTTCATTCTTTGTCACTGCACCCAGCATATCATGAGCATTTTTGTGTTTTAAGCAAATACTTGTTGGATGACTCATTGGTTTTTATTTTATCCTTACATACCTTCACATTGATTTTTTGAGATAACAGCATGAAAAGTGGAATATTCTTTTAAAAGATATTTTTTAATATATTCAAGCTCAATTCTATTTCAGGCTGTGACATAAGATTTCAGTATATTCAATGAGCTTATATTTGACCAAAATTTTGTGCCTTTCCAACCATTAGTTTTATAATTATTGTAATTTTTCTCATTCGCATAAAATCTTGAAACAAATGTAGTGCAGTGAATCATATAGTCATGTACTGTGAAGTAAATTCTTATGAGATTTCAAGTTAAGATATTGAAATAATGTAGCCACATTGGTATTCCAAAGAAAAACCTACAAGTTACTATTGAATCTGTAAAATTATATTATTTCTCATGGTATTATTTTTACTCCCTTTAAAAAAGAAAAAAAAATCCTCGAGAGCAGATTAAATATAATCTGTGGTCCTACGAGTTTGAAATAATGAATTTGCCAATTGTACATCAAATATGTTTTTAAAAGAGAAGAGAAAAAACAATTCTAATAATAAAAAGATATCTATGTTATAGACAAATGTTTTTTGAAGGTTTTTAGATTTCCAGAATAACTTTAGCATAGTGTAAACATTTTAATGGTTACTACCTCTGAAGCTTCAAACTGGAATTAATATATTTATATATTACAAGCTGGGATTAATATTGTATATTACATAGAAGTATAATGCAATTGGTCAAGGAAATGGGAATTATATTGCATTGTTTTACTTTTATTTTTTGTCCCATAGAGTTGACACACTGATTTCAATAATTTTTGATCAGTTTTTGTGCAACAAATAAGGTGAAATAAAACTTTCCATCTTGTGAAAATATAATCATTAGTTTTTTTTCCTGTGTATTTATTAAATTAGATTACTTAAGTGTTTTGTAAAGAGTAAACAACACAAACTTTTTCTACTAGAATCAAGTCAAAAGTTCAAGTTCTAAAAGTGATAAAATATTTAATATATCATTTCAAGTTTTAGTATGTCAAGGATTTCCCTTATATGCTTTAAAGCATTTCAAGATAACCTATCAAAATTAGTATTGACCATATTAAGGCCATTAATGATTCTTCATAGCAATTGCTTAGTTTTAATTTGTGCTAACTACTTAAGTATTTTTTGAGTAAATACTAACAGCAAGGTACTGAATTTTATAGATATAGCACCAACTGTTGTTATAACACACTTGAGAATATGTATAGTACAAATGTTAAAGATTTAATTATCACTTATTCATTTTGGGATGAGATTTTATAAGTTTTTATTTGAAGTGAGCCCTCATCTTACAGATAAATAACCACGTAAGAGAAAAACTAATAAAACTCAAGAGAACAACCTAAAAATAAATAATTACTAACTAAAAGGAGTTTTGAATTTTTTTAAATATGAAAATAACTGAAAAATGAAAAAGATTAAAACTAGGAACAGTTTAGAGAAATAGAAGAGAAACCATTAAAAATAAATCTTTATTTGTTACCTTGACAACACTGATTGGTTTTCTTGACAGGTGATAAGATGTGTAGCATAAGAATGTGAAGATGACAATATAAATCTTATAACTGAAAAAGAAAATGGGAGAAAACATTAGTTGCAGTGGCTATGAGAGAAGAGTAAAACTTAATCTAGTCATCACAAACAAATAAAGTAGGACATTTACAAGTTTTTATTTCTTGACATTTCCAATTTCTTACAAAAATTGTCTTGGGATTTGTCATCTAGTAGTATCATCATTCATAATATTTTGAGTTTCACCATGTATAAGCCTGTGACACAACACATACATGATTGGCTTAGAACATCCATGAAGTAGACTGAATGATTTTATCTAGGTTTGAAGTCTGGCAGTTTTTATGACTATGTAGACAATAAAATCTACAAAACGGCTTCTAAGTAGCTACTTGCTGACTGAAAGGAAATAGAGAAAATAATTAAATGAAAACTTTTGGGATCAGGTGCCACATGGTTGGAAGTTAGAAAGTTTCAGTCATAGGTTTATATTAGTAAAGTCACAGTTAGAATGGGCAGAACAGTTCTGAACCACCGGTTTCATGTCAGTTGTGGGTAAATAGTGAGCAGATGGGTGGTAGGAAAGAGTTGGAGTTTTATCTGGCCGAAAGTATATTCTGATCTTCCTTAAGACTGAGAGGGCCCAGAATATGTTTATTTACAAGGTTAGTATATTCTGATCTTCCTTAAAAAGGCAGTCCTGAAATTCATTAAAAAAAAAAAAAAAAAAAAGATACAAGTATTGGTGTAATGGCCAGCAAGCTAGTTTAGCAGATCATTACAACTATGTAGAGAGCTTGATCCTCACTGAGTATCCCACAAGTGAGGTTTTTGTGTTAGACTAAATTAAGCTTAATAAAGAGATGGGTACCTAAAATAGCAGGATTACTCAAAAACCAATTTGTAAAATGCTGTGAGTTTGATTCATATGTGTACCACACTATTGTAGCAGACTAAGTTTTGCTTAGTAAATAATAGTACATATATTTTAATATACAAATTTGATAGGATGGGTACAAAAATGAAGATTGCTTTGATGGTCAACCAATTTTTAAGTTTAAAAACAAAACTTAAAATATATGCTTATTTTGGAGTAGAATAAAGAATATTTTAGATTATAAATGCTAATTTAGGATATAACAATTATAGCAAATAAAAAATTAACATGACCACATATACATTTGTGCTTACAGTTTATGCATGTCTATTCTGCTGGAACCATTTAAAATGTAAAAAAAAAACTATGGTAAATTAGAAAAACAAGTACTACAGAGAATTAAGACAGAACAGAGATATGTATTGTTTATTAAGGTGAGCAACAGATGAAATGTAGATAATTGTTCAGCTGTCTGTGAATTTGAGAACTATCATTGATATTACAAATTTTCTATGTTCAATTGAATGTGTTTCTGATCCTCTTATAACAAAATTTCAGTCAATCCATTCCTCAACCTTTTCTATAAGAAAACAGGCATTTTCCCAAACTTTTCTGATGGATTCATAACAAAAGCTGAAGAAAGATTGGCTGAAACATTTGCTTTAACTGACTTTCTGATTGTACTAGAGCTCTGCAATAAATGAGCTTTTGTTTTGCCCAAATCTAACAGGTTCAAACTGGCTTGATTTTGCTCAGAAGTTTGAAAAATAAGTTTAAGTTTTTTTAAACATTTTTTTGAAAAGAACACAAAAATGTATAGTATGTTTATTGGTTGTTTTTACCACAACTGGTTAAAAATCCAAATGTCTTGGTTGCCTAAAGAATCAGTTAAAATTTTAAGTGAACATCCACAAAAATTAGTGTTTTTTGGCATGACTTTTAGGAAAGGAATTTTAGTTAATTACGTTGCTATGCTCATGGTTCTTTAAGAAAAACATTTTTTTTTCTATCAAAACAAACATAACTATGCTTAACCAACCCTTGCTAAGTCTGGAAACTTTTACTATAACTCCATCTTTAGATAAAGAAATAAACACTTGGGGGGGGGGATAAAAATTCCAACTACACAATCATCTGTCTCCTCTATTTAACATCTTTCTCCCACTGTCAGTTGAGGGCTCCTGTAATGTGTACTGTTTCTTCTTCCCTAGCTGTCCCCAGTATCTGACATTTACTTCCTATAGTAATAGCCATTCTTGCAAGCTACCAGCTTACAGTGAAGACTTGGCCTCTGGAAGATGTAAAACAAAATACTGGGTCAATGTTCAATGTTTCCACCAGAGTAACAGTTACACTAGCGAACACATAGGCACAGAGGTAACAAGAAGTTGTCACAGCTGCATGGGCCTGGGAGCCAAAGATTTACCCTCTTGTAGGTCTTGCTAACAGCTCCTCTTCCTGGTGACCTCTCTTTGTGAACTTTGATAGTTGGCAGGGAGGAAGAGAAGGGATGTAGTGTAATATCTTCACTTTTATCTGAAACCATTCTCAGATAATCTAGGACAATAATTCTCTTAATTCTTTTGTCAGTTCTATATCAATTCATAGAATTTTAAAATAGAAACTATTTTTTTTTCTTCACTTAATTACTGAAACAACATTTTCTAAACAGTTTGTTATTGTAACATGAAAAATATGTTAAGGAAATAATAACAAAAAGCCATAAAACAAACAAAAAGAAAACACACACACAAAAAAAATGGAAAATGAAAATACATGCTTGGAGCAACAGAGCTGGATAATCTACATAGAAATAGAACTTTTAAAAAATGTAAAATCTTTCTTGAAGTTTTTATTTTAGTTTTAATTTCAAGTTAATATTTCCAATAATCAAAATACTTTGCTGCATTTCAAAACTAATTTTAATTGACTGGAAAATTCTTTTTTTGCTAAAATAGCTGATTAGCTTACTTATTTTTTAGTAGTCTTTCATCGCAATGCAATTCTTTAATAAAAAAATATCATACAAAAATAAAATATAATTTTCAGAATCTTTATTTGAGAAATATTAAAAGTATAATTTATTCAATTTGAAACAAATATATATTATTTACTTTAAGTTCAAATTATTGCAGAAATGCATTTTTTTAACCCAGCAGTAGCTGTGTTGACAGCCTAATGTTGTTCTATGGCGACTAAAGCATACTTGAAGAAAATGACATGAGTGCCTTTTTTATATCATATTTAAGTGTTCAGTAATCTTAAGAATTTGGAAAAATACTCTCTGTAATCCAATGTTTTATTGAATTTTAAAAATATTGACTTTAAATTTACTATAGTTATCACTCTTGTTTTCTGATAATGTTGTGTATGGTTGCTCGTACTTACAATTGGCACATTTATACATATACAGAAATGATTCAAATTTTAAAAAAAAAAATATTGGTATTTGATTATTTGTATTAAGCTTTTCCATTTATGATTAGTAAATATAGCTTTCACTAAACAATAATATCATCTGAAAAGGCTGAAATTAATACAGAATTTTAATAGATTTAAAACTTAATTTTTCTAATTAAAAAGTGAACAATTCATTGAAAAAAATTTTTTTTCTTAAGACAATAGTTTCCTTAATATATCTTATTTATAAGACCAATTAAAAGTTTTTAATAATTAAATAAAAACATTGTTTTATTGCATTTTTTATCCTATGATTAGGAGCAGATTTTTCAGTAAATGGTATTACTGTTTGAGAAAAACAAATTGAGGATGCTTTTAACTAATTTAAATATGAAAAAGCTGAAATTTTAATTTTGAATATGCTAGAAAGGATTAAAAAATTTAATAAAAAAAACAAAAAAAATCCCTTTTTTTCTCTTAATTAAACATTTTGACAATAAAACTGTTTTTATCATGTTTGGAACAATTTTTCATTGTGGTATACTAATTTTTTTTTAGAACATTTTTGGCGGTAGCTATATAAAAAACTACCTAGATTTAAGTCAAAAATACCAATATACCTACAATAAAAGCTGCTTGAGTACTGGCACTATTGTGAATGACATGACAAAAGATACATTTGGCATAATTAGTAGAGTTAAATTCTGTCAGAATTTCTGGGATGAGGAGTTATTTACATTTGGACTAATGATAAATTATTAGCGATTATGACAACTAATAATTTTTACACTTTCATAGTGTTTTGACCCCAGTTTGGGGATTAACTATTTGCCTATAGCTGGGACCCTAACAGGTGCTACCACCCGAGGTCAGGGTGGACCTAGGAACACCAGCAATTAAGAGGTGGTTCCACGCTCCTCAAAACCTCCTGATCAGAGGCCTTGCTGTTGGATGTAGTTTATTGTCTTACCCAGGATAGCTTCATATTCTGTCTGTGACAATCCAATTCAAAATATTCCAGCTAGGCAGGATGGGATAAATGCATTCTACAATTACATCAAGTTCAGCAATAAGTTTATTATTATTATTTTTTTTTTTTTATTCCAAAATAATTTCACTAATATGATGAATTCCTTTTAAAGTAAATTGATGGGTTATGCAATGTTAAATAATATTTTGTGACAGTTTTATGAAGAAAATTACTTTTATGACAACATGACAAGGTATGATGGGTGTTTTTGTTTAATACAGGTTTTAAAATTAGTTGAGTCTGATTTATCTGAGATTGTCTTGTCTGGCAGCTTCGATGGTTTAGAATCATTCATTTGTAGTTATGACAAAAAATAAAAAAAAAATTTGTTAAATTGTAGGTACAACAAAATAAAAAATTTGTAAACTCATAGGTATGGCAAAAAAGAAAAAAAAAGAAAATTGTTAACTCATAAGTAGGGCAAAATATAAAAATAAAAAATAAATTTGTTAACTTGTAGATACTACAAAAAATTGTTAACTCGTGTGTATGGCAAAAAAAAAAAAAAAAAATCACTAACTCGTATGTAAGTAAAAAGGAAATCATTAACTCATAGGTAAGAAAAAATCATTAACTCATAGGTATGAAAATAGCAGAAGTTCAAACCTCTAATTCCTTTATTTTTTTATGTTTTTTATTACAATATTTTCAAGCCAATTCATTCTTTGAATGTGAAATTATGCTACAAGAATTTAAGCCATAGAAAAGATATGAATATGTATCATATAACATCATTATATAGGAAT